GTTCTCAGGACTTCTGGTTCTTTCTGGAAAAGGGATACTCTGGTTGTTAAGCGATTGCCTATTCCTGCCCACCATGAGACAAACGCAGGATATAGTACTCCCGTAAGTCGTAGTTATAAATACGGTGAGATCTCACCAGTGGTTCAGTCAGTTTTACTGCTCGAGCGAAATCTTGGAGTTATATTTTTCCAAAAGTGTACGAATAAATAATCAGCAAACATCAGCAGTAAAATGGCGGTGATAAATGTCATCTACTGTCCTTGTGTTTGAGCATTATTATGATTTCGTCAGCCTTGGTCATGACCATCTGAATTGGCACTAAGTACGTAATTTTGTTTTTATTTCTTGATTTAATCCGTCAAGCAATGCATTTGTCATTCACCAATCTACTTCATGATTCAAGTTGTTCAATTCAAAGGGTACATTTTTATTAAGGACAAACTCCCCCAAAATATGGACAGTGTGCCACACCTCGTATCTTTCACTGAAGTTGCTAGCCAGCTTATAAATGATATTTACATTATATACAACAAACAGTCTGGAATTTTGGAACATGCGGTAGTGAATTGCAACGGCTTAGTGCTGATCAGTACTGTTTTTAAAGTCTCTATAAGTGGACGCCTAGTCAGTGTTTGAACGTCACCTAATGCTAATCGTTCATACAGACTTGACGTACGACAGCGACGGCCGTCATCAGCTGCTCGAAGATCGTCCGGAGTCAGGGAGGCATAAAATGTCATCGTCGACACAGAAAGTCACAAAAGTCAGCCACGACCGTGAAGCCGAAGCGAAAGCCTCCTCTGTCAAGGTGTCAACCGCCGCCAAGCGTGTGCTCAAGGAAGACGATTTCGACACGATTAAGCTGATCTCGAACGGAGCCTACGGTGCCGTCTACCTGGTTCGAGCGAAGGACACGCGTCAGCGATTCGCGCTCAAAAAATTGAACAAGGCAAACCTTATGTTGCGTAAGCAGATCGACCAGGTGTACGCAGAGAGGGACATTCTGACGTTTGCCGACAACCCGTTTGTTGTCAGTTTCTATGGCAGCTTTGAAACCAAGGCAAGTTTTTGTGTTATTAAGAAACTGTACGATGATCTTTATGTTTTGCAACCAATTAAAGTTGACATACTCTGGTCCTGGCATAGAAATGAATCTTGCAATCATAAGACTGGGCTATGCGGAAAGTCGAACTGTTCTTTTGCCTGTAGAATCATGGCCACTTAAACAGTCAGTGACTAAACAATGTTTGAATACCGGCAGTGTTTTGATGCAGAACTGCATCACAGTCTGTGGCTGTCAGTCAGAAACCAGACGGGTACATGTACCGTCTTCATTTAGACTTTGCTTCATTAATTGCAGCGCTAACACTTGAAGACGCTTGCTAGCTGAAATCAGTTTATTACGTATTTGGGCGATTTAGTGCTTCTAGGAGAAAGATGCTTCTAAACTGCTTCAACAGTGTCTTCCCATGTTCAGCGTCCTAGTCTCAAGGGCTAGGACGTCAGCGACTGAACTCTGGTAGAGGATTTCGTGGACCAGTTATAACTCGTATATGTAGCTGACAGAAATAATCTGTCAATAATACGCACGCGACTGGTTATGGTCGAAGGATGTTGTAGGATGCACTTCCCACATGAGGTACAGTCGAGTCCTTCAAATGCTGCGCTTGACGGCGATCGTGCGCTTTCATTATACTTATTTTAGCCATTTTAAGTTTTCTGACGGGTTTACACTTTCCTTGCCTCGTTTATATGTTGTTTTTCATAGTATATAGTTAGTGTGCTTGTTGATTTCGCAGAGGCAGTGAAATTTTTAGGGATCCGTGTTCGCAACTATTCTAACAACTAAGAATGAAGAGAGCCATCGTCATAGCAGTCAAAGCTGCAAAAGTTTGTTACGTGTTGCATGCTGAAAAGTTCGTTTCTTCACTGGCGCGTAAGAGTTGGATGCTGTCTGCAGCACTACCCGCCGGCACAATTAGGCGTACTGACGTCACGGAAAGCCATCTTCCTAAGAAGGGAACGCTCAACCTGCGGGATGTGTAATGATCTTGGTGGTTGGGCCACAGCAGATCACCCCTTGCTAATGTTCGTATCGTATAGTCCCCGAGACTAAAGCGTACGGCCACTTCTGTGCAAAAATTGTTGGAGAGAATCGTTGTTTGTTTGTCACGTCGAATATCGAAAAGGCGAAGTTAAATTTCGCTGTCACCTATGCCAGAAGAAACGTGTCAAGTGACAGCAACAACGTCGCTTTCGATGACTGCATCCAGTCAGCTGACATTACTTAATCGGGCCATAGCGCTACAGTTGTCACAGACAACTTTAACGCAAAGGAGATTACGTCGACTGCAGCTCGTTGAGCCCCTTTGAAATATCTCTGATCGCTATTTCCGGTCTATGAGCCCACAAATGTTCTTCCACGTTTTCCTCAGACGTAAGTAATTGAAGTCGAATGCCAAAATGACATGATACGATCATGTGCAGAAAATGCCTTGTAATGCCTTTAGTGACTTCTCTTCTGCGATAATCATAGATTGACCATTTTTCAAAAACATTCATATGGCATGGACAAATTTACACGATACTGAACATTATCGTAAAAATACGTACGTCGAAGTACTGCCTGCTTATAACTTCCGGACGCATGTAGGCTTTGTGAAGGGTCCACCTGCAAACGATTTGGAGCTCTTAATATTCGAGTCAGGTGTGGTACTACGGAATCTTTTGTTCTGGTAGCTGTTCTGTCATGCGTATGATAGATTTGCAATCGTCTCTCGCTAATCATAGTCGTTTTCATTTTCAGATGCATCTGTGTTTACTGTTGGAGTTCGTCGAGGGCGGTGACTGTGCAACCTTACTGAAGCACGTTGGAACATTTCCGGTGGAAATCGCACAGCGCTACATCGCTGAAACGGTGTTGGCCATCGACTACCTTCATTCTTACGGCATCGTGCACCGGGACTTGAAACCTGACAAGTGAGCTGAGTCCTTCAACTAATGCTTGAGAACAAGTTACTTAAGTAGATATGTGAATTTAAATTGTGCAAAATGTAAAGGGCTATATTATATATAATGTATGCGGCGACGTGATCTGTATGTTTCTGATCTTAATTCGTTTATAATGTGTAATGTTTATTAGGTTATTTATGACGCACTGTTCACCCTTTGTGAAATCAGAAAAATTACATTGCGTTGATTACATTTGTATTATAATTATATTTAATTTGTTGTTTAAAATTTCAAATTATTTTTATGAACATAAATTGCACGTTAAAACATGTTATCTTTAGTTTTCTGTATTAAATGAAAACTTGTGAAAGTTTGACAGTTTGCGACCCTAGCATATTGATAGCTACTCTGCTGATCAGTGAATCTAGGCGCTCCAATTATACCTTTAACATTTCAGTCTTTTGATCACGACCATGGGCCACATCAAGCTAACCGATTTCGGCCTGTCGAAGATCGGCCTGATGAACAGGACTGTGATATTGTGCGAGGATTACTTCGACGTATCGGATACTCAACAGTTCCAAGACAGGCAGATCTGCGGTACTCCTGAGTACATAGCGCCAGAGGTCATCCTACGCCAAGGATACGGTACGTTGTTGCTCGTTGTTGGAATGCTTCGCCATTTGGTCGTTTTTTTTTCTACTGCAGGACGTCCAGTTGACTGGTGGGCACTGGGCATCATTCTTTACGAGTTTCTGGTCGGTACAGTTCCGTTTTTCGGCAGCACGCCGGAGGAACTGTTCGCTCACGTGATTAATGGTACTAGTGGCCGTTTATCATTTGCTTGTTCGATGACGTGTCGTTGTAGATCGTATAGAGTGGCCAGAGGAGCCGTACCGGCCGTCGTCTGAAGCTGAATCTCTAATCACAGGCCTGCTGAAGATCAGTCCTATCGAACGTCTTGGAACAATCGGCGGAGCGCTGGAAGTGAAGATGCACCCGTTTTTCACGACCGTCGATTGGGACTCGCTATTGAGACAGAAGGCCGAGTTCATTCCTCAGTTGGAAAATGACGAAGACACCAGCTATTTTGATAGTACATATTTTGCTCACGTAGTGTTTTTTTGCTTTTGGTGTGGTATGCCGGAACACACGGGTATTTTGCATCCTAATTATAAGAATTATACTATTTTCAAAGCAGTTTTTAATCTGAATTTATAACGCTATTCTCATCCGTCCCAGCCATTGCAGCTTGCAATTTAACTAGGGTAAATTTTCATTAGTGATAGTTGGAAAAAGCCGTAAATCTTAATGATGAGTAAAAAAAATCAGGAAGAATAAAAGAACAAAAATTAACTAAAAAACTTAGAACAGCAAGACTCCATGTAGTAGTTTCTTCTCAAAATATCTTGATCTTAGCCTTGTACGTAATGGTAATAAATAATAATAGCAATATGTTTACACCTTATGCTGATTATCCTACTCGATTGTCTGCTATCATGTCGCTCAGGCAGAGTGCAACTGCAAGAGGCGCTCATATGCGACAGCTGGCCATACACCTCGTCCATTCTGATTTGACCACACTAGAATGTCGTGCTGTTCCTCTTTCTCACTACAGCTTGTTGCACCGAAGCAAGGTGGCGTAAATTCCTTATTCAAGGGAATTATCAGTGAAATTAGATATTGAAACAACCTCTCGCTTCTGAAAAAAATTCATTTTCTTAAACAGGATGAATTTACGTTTTATCCAAGTGCACATACAATGCCAACGTTCCCTGTATTGTAATTTTAGTATATTCCAATCTGAACTATTGCAGTTGCATGCCTATGAGTAAAACATATAAGGGTTGGAAAGCGCCCAGTTGTTCTTGCTAGTCACCATCTTGTTCTGTTTAAACGACTCTGACGTGACTTATATTCCTTATTTCAAGGAATTGGCAGAAAGCGTTACCTCAAGTTGTCGAAAGCCTATGCATCGTTCTGCCATTTCAATCCCTGATACGTTTTAGCACGTGATTTTTCGAATAATCATTGACATTTGCTTCCTGCAACTACTCTTGTTTTGTGAATGCTCATTTTATAATTTTTGAGCTCTTTTTTTAATGGTGTGTTAGTAAGTGATGTTTCGTTTAGCGCGATTGGACCGCTTCAATCACGAAATCGATTCTGGTGAAGAATGCTGGAGCGAGAATTCGTCGTCCATTTTCTCATCGTTTTCCAGCTGTTCACCCCGCTACAGCTTCCTAGCTGACCATACAATTTTGGTGAGTACTTTGTTGACCTCGTCGTACCGTAATACGTTACGGGCTGAAACTTTCTTAGAAGTCTGCAGACGGTCAGGACACTGCTTTGTCTTGCTCTGAATCGAACACGGATAACGGCTACCCGTTGTACGCGGAAAATGGCCGCGGGGGTCGAGGCAACAGTCAGACATCAAGTCAGGGCAGTGGTCGAACGACCAGCAGCCTGTCAGACAGTTGTGATCTGCCCTATCATGACGGTATATCATCTGCAGGAGCAGTGACCACTGCTGACCTGCAGTCGTCATTGCCCGACTTCGGTCAGAAAGAAGGGGGTCACTCTTACGGCGGAAGTCGCGATCTGAACCGCGTAAAAGGGGAGCTGCCAAAGTACGTACTTTAGCGACCACTGTTAGGCCAAACCTAACTGCTAAATTGAACCCTTAATTCAGATTGTCTGTATCTTTCGACACGGATGATGCCGAAGATCCGCTGGCCAAGGAATTATCACCGGTCAATGAAACGGTGATGGACGGCGGCTCGAGGACACGTAGTTCATCATCCGTAGCCGTTCGGCCTTTATCGCCCGCCACCGCCATTGCTAAGATGCCACAGCAATTATTGTATCGTCACCCGTCGCTAACGCGTCAACGACAGAGTCCCCGACAGAAGATATCGCAAGGACTGCATCTGATCATACCAGAGTCGCTGATGCTGATGCCGGCCGTGCAGTCACCTGGCGCCAGCAGCAACAGCTCCATCGAGGGTTCATCCAGTCGCTCCGATTCGTTTGATATTTCGCCCTTAATCAACTCGGTGAAGCCCACCATCGCTCTGCGCCGCGGCTACAAAGGATTTGGCTTTAGCTTCCGCTCCATTCGCGTCTACTTAGGCCACACGGATTACTATACCATTCAACATATTATCACGGTATTTTTTCTACTAATTAGGCTCTCGTGCATATTATTTATTAACGACTATATGTTTGTTCTCGAAAGCTCTTATTCATCCTGTGCTCGTTCTTCAGGCTCACTGGATCTGCTACTTTATACTCTTTTACACGTCGACAGAATGCAATTAAGATAGTGGCAGATTCGTTTTAGGTCATTAGGAGTGGAAAATAATCTCGAAATCCCTTTGAGATTTTGCTGTTTTTATGTAGATTTCATATTTTTGGGATCGTTTAATGTCATCTGTAGGAAAATTATTTTCCGCGACATTTTGGGGAATGGCTGAAAAGAAATTTTATAATTTCACCTAAATTATTTGCGTTTTCGAGGGAAGTTCTGCTGCTTGTTCCTTTTAGTAGAATCTGTGGATCAGCATCGACGATTTCGGTAACCTTGGTAAATCACTGATCATTTTCACAGCTGCGTTCTCTTCTGTTCATCGTTCAGCGGTGTGAAACGCCTTAAAATGTTATGGCTTTAAATGAGCACATCGCTTGTATTTTGGCTCAGATGCATGCAGAAATTACGCCGGCTATTAAATCGAATGGAAGCTATATCAGTGCTTCGCTCTTAATTGCAAAATTCGCAAGGAACACGCACTTTCGCTTTCGTCATTCAACGTTGTTTAAATTTTTCTCGCTGAAACAGCGTAGAGCCTGACAAAGACCAAGGTTTCAACAGGCGTCGCAGTTCATGAAACATGCCAAATATCGCCGTAACTCTGAGCTGCAGTATACTGATGATTCTGCCCTGGTGAGTAGTACCGCAGGGGAAATTAATAAAACTGTGACCAACCCAGATTCTGTTTTTTCGCTACGAAATCAAATAGTATGAGAAGCCTGTGTTTTACCGACAGAAAGGTGAAACGATGGAAGTGTTTGACTAGTTTAAGTATCTCTGTTTCACTGTCTTCACTGATTGAATCGTTCACGTCGATTTAAATTCAAGATTGATTTTGTCTCATGACTTCGTGAATCTGTCCAGTGTTTCAGCAGAGAGACATATCGCTTTGCACATTAATCGGCCTCTGCACCCTTGTGTGCCAGCTGTTTGTTCAGCGTTTTTGTTCGATATGATTTTCATAATGAAATGATACATATAAATATGCAAATTTTTCGAAATTTATAAGTTTGACTAAAGCTCGGGCATTTTGCATTCTGAAATTAGTTGAAAAACTGGTAGAGACAGATATGTGGCATTTAATAGATACTTATTCGCTACCACTTACTTCATATTTGCTGACATCTTGCAGAACTGATCGACATTTGCGTAGGTTCACTCTACGAAGGCAAAAAAATTATACTGGCGAAGCGTGTGTAATTAGAGAAAGTACCGTGTTCTAAGAAACAGTTCTTTGATTCCTTTGGTTTAAAAAAATAGCAGCACCGTACTTTGATGATAAACGTTTCTGTGTGTGCATGAGTGTGGTGATGCCAAAGTAGTATGTACTGAATTTGGTCTCTCTTATAGAGGTTCTGCAGCGAAATAGAGGCCGAGACACCTTGTTAATCTGTTCCAGGGAAAATATTGAGTTGGAACAGTCATTCTTTGATTTTACTATTAATAATGACTGAGCAGTTTTCCTCTGACCAGCTGTGAATAGAAGTGACTGTGCAAGAATATTTTGTGTACTACTACCATCTGCTGAAGCAGTTGCACTCAGTACCAAAGTATCATGGGCATGTTTTATGCATTTATTTGGCTTTGCATGCATTGGTGTATAATGTAAATGTAAACAGAAGAGGATTTAAATCTGATCCCTGCAGAATTCCTGTTAGCCTGCGCACTTCACCTCTGCAGTAGATGCAGTAAGATCATAAAATAGAATATGAATCTTCAGTATTGGCGTTCAGCAAAAAGCTTCATTTTGTACTAACCGTTCATGTCACTGATATGTAATGCGATGGCTAAATCAAATGGTTGATACGGGAGAACACCTTCCAATCATATAGATTTACGTCGTCGTACTCCTATACGGCTGCGCCAAAAAGGTCTTTTGTATGGTGGGGAGGTGAGTCACGAAGACATTACAATTTGTCTGTTTTTCCTTTTGTTTTATCATCATTGTTTTTTAATGTGTTTCATTATACAATGACAATTTAATGTTATTTTTAAAAATATACCGTTTTTTCCGTTTTAATAATCCAAAAAATGTTTAGTACGTCGATCCGAAAAGTTCAGCTTTCGAAGCTGGGCTTCGACCAGATGATCTCATCACTAGCATCAACGGTTGCCATGTACAGAATTCGACGCAGTCGGAGGTGTTGCACAAATTGATCTGCGGCGGTGAATGGCTGACTTTGCGTGTGTGCCCGTTAGATCAGACCAGCATCAAGATCGGCAAGGCGAGGAAGAGCGTTGGGAAATTGGTGCGGCGCCGCGGTGGCGGTCGACGCAAGGTCCAGCAGCGGAGAGCCCTGGACAAAAAGAGTAAAGGATCTCTGTTCAGAAGGCTGAGCGGCAAACGAGTGAGCGCCGAGTTCATCACCACTCACAACCCAGCCCAGTCGTTGCACCGGTCGGTGTCAAACGCCGAGGGTTTGGCGGCCGTGCGGCCTGAGGGTACTACGGTCCCCGCCCTAACCATTGCTCCCGCCGTCTGCTCGTGTTTGTCGACGACCAGTGGTACATACCTCAGCCCGTCGTCAGTAAGAAGCCGCTGTTTCTCTTGCCACCTACCGGTTCCATTCGTGTCTGAGTCAGCGCTGAGTTTCGGTCACCCGACGCCGAGCCCTATGGCCACTGTAAACATCACCACTCCGCCTTCACCGACCATCGTCAAGAGCCCCATCACCTCCTCCCGACCTTCCAGCTTCCATGGCTTAAAGCATAAGATCGTAAAGACTCTGAAGTCGCCACGACGCAAGCAAACCCAAGCTATACCATTGTCGCCTTTGGCCCGATCGGACCAATCGTCATCGACGTTGCCCAACGATCCAGCGGTACAATCGTCTCCGCAACACAACGCGGAACGTGCCCTTAGCGGCGGCGGTTCAGTGGCCAGTCACGCCACTTTAAACGCCCGCTCATGTTACGAATTTCCGGTCATTCTTCCAAAGCCCACTTCCACCATCGGTTCTGCTGCCTCATCCATTTCGCCAACCCAGTCAGTTGAATGCCGAACTAGCAAAGAAGCCGGAAGCGTATACAACCCGAAATCGAAGACAGTCTTAAGCACAAATCTTGTTTTGCGATAGGTAAAACTTTCTTCACCACCTATACCATCCCGTCACCTGATTTATGCTACCTTGCATCACTGCTTTCCCATATTTGATGATACAACGGTCAATATTCGGACGACGAAAAACAGCTGCGCTGTTCTGTGATTTGGCTTTGGTCACGCTTAGCGCTTCAGCATTTTTTGTATTTCCAGATGTTTGTCCACGTCATAGCTTCCGTCTGTCGTTTTCTTCTTCGTACCAATAACCGCAGCCGCCGCGGGCAACATTCGTTCTTCTGTGTATGCAATTGTAAACTGGACCGTGAAATGAACCAAAAACTGTGAACCGTTATTTGTTGCAGTTTCTCACTCTGTATGTTTGTGCCTGGATGCTATTCTGCACATTTGTAGTGTCTGAACAGGACGGTTTTATTCTTAGCTGTGTTAAATATCAACAGATTGTGATTATACCGTACGTGAAAGTGGCGATGTATGTGAACAGTCCATCCCAGCTATTTTCTTATGATTGCTGATGTATTTCCTGACGTAAAATCTTCATTGTAGTGGAAGGTGTTTAGCTACGAAACTTACCGATCGCTGTTACATTAGGTCAAGGTCAAAATGTTGGGAATGCAAGTGGCCCCTTGATTTAACCGTCCTGAAAATTTCGTGACGGGGATGCCTCATTTAAGGTGTTCCTGAAGGATTATCCTCTAAATGGAATGTCACTTGCCCCTTGGATGTGTAAATTATGAGTTCCATTCCTAGACCCTGATAAATAATACCTCTATATTTGGGTTTGTCGATAGGTTTCAGATATGAGACGTTAAAATAGTATCTTAAATTATAATTCGCTAAGAATTTGGAAACTTAAAATCAAAGCAATGTTGGCTGATGGTTGGTAGAACCCCCTTTATGCTCTGTGCTTAAATTAAATGAACCCTTCAAGCTACTTTAGCAATTTACATAGTACTGATTTGATGTTCTCCCTTTTCTCAGTTTGAAGTTAACTACAGCTTCAAAAAGGGGTTCTCCTGACGTCCCAGATCCTATTTTCCGTCGAGGAACGTCGCTGTGTCGTTTAGGTGCTTTAAAGTAGCTGCCAGGTATTCAGTTGACAAAAGGTTCAAACTAAAACACATCGTAGGCAAGAACATATATCCAATATACAAAAGAAAAACGTCTGTCCCCGAAATGTATATCCTTCCTGCACATCATCGATTGCAGCAGCTTTGTCATGTTTCAACAGCCTCTGTGACTTCATTAACATAAAGATTGCTATTATTGCCTGCTGTACTGCATGTGGTTGCTTGAATTTAAGAAGATACTTAAAGTAGTCTCTGAGTTGTCAGAGTATTTCTAATCCTTGGTAAGAAGACTTCCAGATTTGTGCTTCACGACTCTTAGACTTAGACTCACCACTTTTCATCTCGCAGGTGCAGGATAATCTCCAAGTATACACTGTTTGCGGTCTGTAAATTCTACTACAGCCCTTGGAACTACAGGAATCAACATTCGCTTTGGCCTTTCGCCTCTGCTGTGCGCTTCTTACCGTATTCGATTTTAAGTTTCTTTGCTTACAAGTCACCTCTTGAATGAGACCATCTAACGGCTGACAGCCAGTTTAACCCCTGATGTCCCTCAGGTTGCAGGGCAACCTGTTTTAAATAGC